TGTCAGACTCGCATGCCAGGGTAGTGTTTGTAAGGAAGTACATTGGCACTGTAGTCATAAGATGATTGCTTTTATCCTGCTCAAGCATTTCACAATCACTGAAATTGTTCGTGAGTCCATACCACAGAGCAGTAAGTAAGGGTGAGAACAGGCACGCACCATAGATTTTGAAATAGATTGGAAATTTTTAAAATAATTTAAAAAATGAGCATGCAGTATTACACAGGACAGGTTATATGTGCTGAGATTTAAGAGATTTGCTTGCTTGCTTTGGTCATATACAGCCAGCACATTGTAATTGCCACTTTGTAATGTTTGCTAATCACACTAAATAAACAAAAGCATTAGTCTGAAAGCAGAGGCACAGTGATAAAAGGATAATAAACTCCATGTCATTAAACAATTTTGGTAATACTCTTCAGCATGTGCTACTCTTGTTTTATAGCACAAGGAAGATATAGCCTAAGAAGCGATCACTGTTAATCACTTCTGCCTCCCTGAATCTGACAGGGGAGTGTACAGAATGTGCTCTGTCCTCACTGGGCAGGGAGATTCTCAGTCAATGCTTTGGTGGATCTGGAGGGGAAAAAATACAGATAAAGAAAGGAATATAATTGTGACTTAAGTCCTGAAATCATGCCAATTGTATTTCTACAGGTTATCTTATTAATTGGATGCAGGCAGCAAGGTTATTTTTTGGTGTTTAAGATGTCCCATATACCTAAGCAGATATTTGTGCGTGTTTCATATCTGCGTGTGGAAGTAAGCAGATAAACCAGTCTGAAGGCTTGTGTGGTGGGGAAGGAAATGTGGTTTTATTGCTCTTTCAAAAGATAGAAGGCTGGAAACCACCAGAAGACCGTGTGGTTTACTTTAAGCACGAATAAAATGTACTGGGTCCTGCTGATCGTTAAGTGGGGTGTATATTTACTTTCAGTATAGGCTTTCAGTAAAGTAAAAGTTATAGTTAAAAGGATATTGATTTAACAGAAGCATGATTCAGTTTGGTGGCTTACAAATTTATTAGGGCTACAGTCAACTGTGCATGGAAAATGTAAGATCTTACTTGACTGTAGTTGAATGAATTCCTGTTCCTGTGTCATTTCCACATGCCTCTGAGTACTTATTGCATAATGTTTGGTTCATGCAAAAGCATATTAAGATGCTCATTATCCCATACTTTATTCCAAATAAGCATTTTATTGTTTTTTTGTAGAGTCATCACTAATGTGTGCAACTTTTAAGGCTGCTACAAAAACCTGCTCATGCCTTCCTTATGTCCTTAAGAAGCAACTAGGTTTCATTCTGCACAGGTTTTAAAATTGCTGTATTCTGAAATTGCATCTGTTCAACTTAGATGTTAGGTCACACTTCAATCTTACTTTAAAAATTTTCCCCCTCTAGTTTCCAGTCCTGTGCAAAGCCAGCCAGCGGTTGTCACTGGAAGTTTAACCTCAAGACAAGACTGTATCCAAGACGACAGGTAGTGTCTTTTCATATGTTTATTGCAAATAAGGAGATAAACTCAGGTGACCGCAGTGCTGTGACATTATAAGAAACTATTTAGTATTTCTTCATTTTTCTTCAAAATTTCATTTTGGCACAGCTGGCAAGATTTTTCTATAATGCAGCCTTCTTGTCGTGTTTATATTCACTGCAGCAAAAATAGAATTTAAAGCATCTTATTATTCTTGTTTAGCAAGCTTTCTTAGGACAGGCCTTTGCTACAAGCAAAGGTGCAGCAAAATCATCCTGTAATGAGATTTGTGTAGCTCTGTTAACGTTAAGCCTTTTAAAATATTTCAGCTGCCTCGTGCACTGGTGTGAGAGCTTTGAGAGTCGAGACTTGCTTTCTCCACAGATCCCAGGGAGGAATAGCAGGTGGTCTGGTAAAGGGAGCCCTGTTAGTAGCTGCCTCTGCCTACAAAGCCCTGTTCACGGGACAGCCAGTCCCAGCACAGGTGAGCCTGCGTCACTGTGCCACACTCGCCAACACCTCACAGGGTTCTGGGTCTGAGGGTTACACTGAGAAGAGCCTCCATTGAGGGCTGCAGTCTCACTGGTAATGGCACAGCCTGATTGCAACATAGCTGCTCATTTTTATCAGTGCTGCTGATGGCTAGTGCTTTTTGACAGTATAGAGGCCACTAGTGTCCAATACAGAAATCATGCTTCTCCTCATTGGTTAAGTCAGTGCTTGGTTCAGTTCAGTAATTCAGAGCAGGACTGGAATAAGAGTCATTCATCTTGGTAGCTTTGTGGGACCAGGATTGGTGACCCACCGGGTTTGGCAGCTCTCAAAAAATGCATAGATATGTCTGCTGAGTCTGCCGGATGATCTCCACTTAAATTATAGCCTTTTTTATGTCAAAAGCACGTTTTGATGAGGGTGATTCTGGTAGCGCAGGAATCCAATGGGGAAAACTGCCACAGCTTCCAGAGCAAGCTCCCCCCGATGCATTTCAGAGAGGAGCTGCAGCAGGGCCGTGCGTGGGATCGTTTCAAGCAGACTTCACTGCCACCCGAATTTCAAATGCGCTTTCTTGGGTTGTGTTGGCACAGCCTCCTGCGGACTCCGCCAGCCAGCAGGCCGCCATGATGGAGGTCCTGCTGGAGATGGGCTTCGGGGACAGGCAGCTGAACCAGCGGCTGCTGAAGAAGCACAACTACAACCTGCTGGACGTGGTGAACGAGCTGGTCCAGATGACCGACAACGACTGGTACTCCACCCGCTACTGACGGCACCCAGAGGGCCTTGGGGAGATGGCACGCTTTGTTTTACCATAGTACAGGTCCCAGCCACAAATACTGTAACTGCCTGCCTGCGAAGCGAATGGCAGATTTTTGTCCCGTGCTGTATGGTGGGGCTTCCTTCTCTTTGAACTTTAGGTTTTGAAGACCAGAATGGGAGATCATAAGAGTACCACAGACTGCTGCCACAGCAAAGATTTTTTTTTTTTTTACCTTGCCAGGTTGCTTGTTTAAGGTGGTTGCCCTTTGTTGGTTGTTTCGGTTGGGCCCCCTTTTTTCTTGCACCCCGGGGCTTGGCTTAACGTTGGCGGGGAGGTTAGGTTCTTACCTTGTTTCAGCATTGGGCGGTTTTTTTTTTTACCTTTAGTTTAACAGTGAATCCGCCAGTCCCGACGTCTTCTAAAACATCAGTGTTGCAGTCATGGAAACAGCTTTGCTTGCTAGAATTATGACTGCTTGATAAGGAAATGAGACCACAGTCTTCTTCATTCCTGTGAATGTAATCCTGCTTAAATGCGTTTTATTCTTGTTCTTTCTCATTAAAACCAAGAGTCAGGAGATATACTTTCTTAGCCTACTATTTAACATTGGAGAGTAAATCCTTGCTGGGCGTTTTAAGAGTATACTAAACCTCCGGCTGAACTTTACAGGTTATGAGAAGTCTGTAGTTTCTGTCTGACAATGTGACTAACAAAAGCCAGCACTAAGCAGACATGTTTTATGTACAGTTCTTAAATATTGGGTGTAGTGATACTTTGTTTCAAAAGTATGCATGATTATTTGTATGGCAGTTGAAACTGGTAACTTTAGCTTTCTGCACAGGTTTAAGCAAACAGCACAATAGGGATCACACAGCACTCTGACCTTCACACTAATGTTCGTCCTGAAATTCGTGACGTTTCTCACTTTAGATGGGCCAAAACAACTGCTTGTAGTAGATATTGTAAAATATTTTTCGTGCTTTTCGAATAACATTCCCATATTTTGTCTGTGTGATACATGAGAGGGGCAGCAGATTATATCTTTTGGTAAATGATGCATTGCTAATGGTGTGCTAATTAATGTCCAGATTATTTAACCCTCTGTGATATAGATCTCCTCTGAGCTTTTTCATTTTTTCCCGGAGTGTGTTTGTTAGGCATGAGCTTTCTTTACTTGTCCCAGAACATGTTCGTGATGGCAATGTCTGAGAGAATGATCACATTGCTTCAAAAGAGCTTGATTTATTTTGAAATTGGGAAGTTTTTTTTAATTATGATCTGAACAACACACTTTCTTTTCCCTTTCAAAAAGCTTGAATTGTGAAAAATATGTGGAATGTCACAAATGCTTTTTCGAATCTCTGTACAGAATACCAGACCTTGTATTTGCAGGTCTTTATTCAGTTTCAGGGGGATTAAGATCTACTACTTGAGTTGCAATCCAGTGAAGGAGACTCCCTGCCTGTCTCTTTCTTTGAAAGTTTCATTTCAGTGAGACTGAGTGTGAAGAATAGTACCTTCCAGGAATTGATGAGTCACATGTAATGTTTTATGTTGCCTCATTACCCATGTGTTTCCTATAGTGTTGTCAACTCCTAGCCCAATTAAATTGAAGAAATGTAGCACCACATGCACAGGAGTATTCAGTGATGTGCACTGTAAATAACCAATATTTTTCTTTTTAAAGAAAAACGTTATTAAAACCCATCCAAGCAAGGATTTAGGAGGGCCCAGGAGGCTTTCTTCCTCGACTCTTTTGGATTACAGAACTTTTAACTTGGATGTAGTAGAGATATATTTTGTAAAAGGTCCTACTTCGTTTGAAAAATGGAGTGTGTAGTTATGAAAGTTAAATATATTTCTAAAATATGAGGTTTAACTGCTAATCAGATTTCTCCTCTAAATTAATGCCTGGACAGGCACTCAGCAGATTATATCTTGTTCAGTAATTAACTAATGAACAGAACTGAAAAAATCTTTGTATTAAGGGTTTTTAATCTATGTGTTGTATGATTCATAAGAAAAAATCTCAAATTTTATGTTCATGTATTTACTGCGAGCTTGATTTTGTGGTTAGAATTCTGTTTTGTTAGCTTAAGTGTTACATATATGCTCAGTGGGCAGTTTTCTTTTAAGGACATCAGAAAACTGTGACAATTAATATCTCAATCTCTCTATTTAAACAATTTAAATCATTCCTTAATCTTGTTGCATTGAAGGTTTTTCTTTTTCTTTAAATATTTAGCTTGCATTTTTTTCGTTCCTCTTAGGTTTCATTTCCTGAGCAAAAAGTTTCTCCTGAAAACTCCTTATTGCTTCTTTGGGGCATAAATTATTAGAACAGAATCAAATTCTTGGATAAGCACCTTTAACATTAAACCTTATAGGAGAGTTTGGCTTATTATTAAACATTACTTTTCTAGTTGATTACTATTATAGTGTTATAGCATTAGAGTGTTTTAGTTTAAATAAGCATAGTTTGGTTAAGGAATCGATTTTATTGAAGTAGCTTGTTACAGAATGGATACTACATTATCGTGCATTATTAACATTTGGCTAGTGGTATTATTTTTAGGAATACAGTTTGTAAATGGAAAGAAATGGCTGTGTTTGTAGGGGATAATTTCCAATCCACCCCCTCCCCAGTGTGAAATGTGAAACTAAGTAATGAGAGAATATGGGAAGTGTTTTAAGGAGATTCAAGCAGGGAGCTGTGTCAGAGTGTGTTGTCTGCCACGGAACAAGGAAAGTTAATTCCAGGCTGAAAAGCAGAAAACATTTCAGGTGTGAAGAAGGCTTGACACCCAAAACATCGTCTGTCTGCTTTTCAGCATGTGATGTAAGGTTTAGTTGATCCTTATTAAGCTAAACTACAGAAGGATCCACACTGTAGGACCTGTGAAAACCCCAGTGCTTGTTTTATACAGCACTATTTCTGTTCTTCTGCACAGATCTAAATTCAGACTTTGTGCGTTTCTGGTCTGGTACCCAATTTAACAATTGTTTACAAGTTAAAGCCTTCAGATAAAATACTTATTTTCAATTAAAATCAAACCTGCGATATCACAGTTCAGCTCTCACATGTCCCTGAGTCTCTTTTTTCCTCTTAATTGACTAGATAATTTAAGGCCTTGTTACTGTTTTCCAGATCTAAATGAACTGGGAATTTTGAAGACACTACATAATTGTGCTACCTATAAAATATTTAAAGTAGTTTGTTTATAAGCTGCAAATTGATACACTTATGGGATTGATTGAAGAGCAAAAAAATAATTTTCTGTTCAGTTAAATCAAAACCCAGGCTGAAAGGAAACGTAAGCAGTGAAATGCTGGTGTTTCTTTAGTTGTGCCGGTTAAAAGGTTATAATCTTCATAATCATTAATAATATTAATCTGACTCTCTACACAACATGGGGTTAAAGAGAATTTGCTCTGATGTTAATTAACTGAAGCAATTGAAGTATTTCTGTAGCACTAATCTATGAGGACAAAGGTATCTGTTGTTGTTTAAAGAAACTGAGTGAAACAAATGATTTACATACCCTTGTAGGGAGTGGTTGGGCTGGACTTTTTCTTCATCTGACCTCTTAGTTTGCATGATATACTGAGGATACTGCATAGGAAAACTGCATTTATGCTATTTCTTTGTTCCATAGGATAAGCACTTTAAAAATACACAAAATGTGATGTAAAAATATTTGTTGCCTACATGATTTAATAAAAGTTCATTAATGCAATGCAATCTCCAGTGTGCTTTTTTCAAGTTTTCTTTTACAGGTGTACGTAGTACTGACTTTAGGAAACGACTGCATTTGGTATGCTTTTATCTGATTTTGTTCCTTGATTTAAAAGTTTACATCCACTTCAGTTTTCTTCATTGCTGATTTATTAGTTATGGTGTCCTTCAAGTAAAAGAAGTCTGGATTATACTGCCAGAATTAAAGACTGTGCTTGGGCATTTCGACATTTTGTGTCTGAGTCTGTGTTATATGATCAGGATACTACTACAGTACAGGGTGAACTAACCTGCTAGTCTGCCTGTCTTTTAGCAAGTAACTAATTCTGCAAATAACTTTGTTGTGTATGATGTGATACATGTGGACTTACAGAAATGTAAGTACTGCTTGCAAGACTCATCTTCCAAATTAAAGCTGCAAGAATTCAAGTTAATGTCTGCACATGTACAAAGAAGTTGTGTAAAAGGGGTTATTGATAATGGCAGCTACTTCAGATCGGAAGTCCTCGGAGAGGTACCATAGGTATCAGTTTGAGGACCACTGGTCGTCCAAATTTACATCCGTGGCCAAGACTGAGAGTAAATAAACTTGTCAAATTCGTGGATGATTGGGAAAAAAATGTAAGGTGGAATAGAGAAAACAACTGGCAAATGAAATTGGAGCATGTATAAAACGCAGGACACAAGCGTGTGAATTTCTTATATCGAATTGATTGTAGTAAACGGGAGGAAGCACTATTTAAGAAAGATGGAAGAGAATAAGAGATCACTGTGTAAGAATCTTCTAAGTCATGTAGACTCATGCCTTGTGTTTACCAGGTTAGGCTCCAGCTCAGAGATAGTGGTTAGTAAAAATGGATTGGTAATAGTCATTTGTATTATCTGTATTGGTGCACAAGATCGGATAGCCTTTGCATTGTTATGAAGGACAACTATTCTTAAATACATTTTAATGAATTGCGGAGAAGTAAATTGCGTGTGGTTCTTTCATGTTTTTCAGGTTTGTCAGGTGCGATCTTGGCTCTCTTCCAGCAGACGGATAAAAACAGATCTAAGAAACTTTTCTGTTTCAGGACAGTTTTGTGCATAAACAAGCTCCTGGCCTTTTCAGTTCCTGCTCATTTTCTTAAATTTAACCTGTAAAACTTCAAAGAACGCCCTGGATTTCCCTGCACGAATATCCAGATCCAATCTTTTTTTTTCTCCACATAAACTGCAGCCAGTTTTTAGAATCAGTTCCAGAATTATCAGAAACCTGAGGTGAGTACCCCTAAACTCTCACACACTTTTGAGTTTCTCCAGATTCCGAGACAAACGATGAAACCACTGTGTGCAGCTCTCAGCCTGAAGACTGTTACTGTCGTTTGAAAGCAGTAGTGTCCGTTTCCTGTGCTCATCTGGCACTTTGAAAACTGTTTTTTTGAGTATTCGTGAAGGAAGTATTCTAAATGTCTCACTGTTGCTTCGTGTTGGCTTTTGCACACACTAGTTAAAGAGTAATGACCAGGTGCTATTCGATATTAATAACCTGAATGCAATATAAATTACGTATTTTTTACTTAAGCCGCAGTTCTCCAGGACCCCCTGGTAATTGGCACTACTGTCTTTATGTGTATAAATCTAGAAAATAAATTAATAGCAACTAACAGTGTACGTTGAAATCTTAAATTCGGATGTCTTTCCATGCATGGAAAACTAAAATTCTTTAGCTGTGGAAAATAATATGTAGACATTTTTGATGGGCGCTTAGGGAACAATGCTGCAAAGGTAAATATTTCTTATCTTAACATGAAGACTTCAGTGCTTCCTTTGGGATGCTGTCTGTGTGGAGTTTGTATGTTCCCCCCGTGTTTGCATGGGTTTCCCCTCACAGGCCAAAGACCTGCTGGTAGGTTACCTGGCTTCTGAAAACAAAACTGGCCCTTTTGTGAGTGTTTGGGTCTTGCAATGGGCTGAATTTCTGTCTGGGGTATATCCCACCTTCTGCCCGTTGACTGCCTGGATACGAGCCCGGAATTAGACGTAGGGGTTAAAAAGCGCTATATAAGTGTAAGCAATTATTAAAACTTGATCGAAGGGCGGATTACAGTATCTTGATTTGATCCGATGAGCGTTTGGTTCGCTGTCCTTCAGTACTCTCTGCGTCCACCGGGCGGCAGTAGAGAAATAATGACGGTCTATTCGTGTCAGCTGACCGTAGCAGGAAGAGGGTAGTAACGACGATTACACGCACTATGTAAAGACTGTAGTTGTGTTTTTTTTTGTGGAAAAAAAACTTGCATGCAAAGAAGTTGGGGAAGCAGGTATAACGTCGACTTTAGTTTTTCCATATGCCCGTATTTTTTGGAATGAGCAATGACGCCTTGATCATTTGCTTATAAAAAGGTAAGTGAAAAGTTACAGCATAACGTTAACCCCTCAGTAAAAAACAAACCGTGATGCAGTCAGTTATTACAAGATTCATTATGCTGATACTGATGCGAATGAAAATTGTCTACAGTTCGAGGAAGAGATCGAGATGCTCTGTAAGGTGCTATGTTTGAATTTGTTATTGGTGAAATTATGGGGGTGTTACCATTTGCGTTTCGTTTGTCGTTTTAATAAAAAGAACTTTAGATCTGTATAATTGTAAAAAACAAAAAGCTAACAATTTCGTATCGGGCGCTTGCAATACAGTACGTCTCTGTAATTCTGACCCTTCGTGACTTCAATTGTTCTACTTTAAATATTTTTACTTAATAGTTGCATGTATGAAATTAACACCCTCACTCAGCAGCAGTATAATACTACTCTGATACCTTTATACCTTTATTAAGTTATATATATTCTGTATATTGTTTTGCTTATTCATTTGAACATTCAGAACATGTGCAAGTGTTTTTCCCTTGAACTCTTCCTGAACACTGATACGTCATACCGCACAATAACAGAAGAAAAAAAAAAACAGAATGAGAATATAAGCCTATCTTCCAAAAATGCGCGAAGTCCATTTAAAAAGAAAAAGAAAACAGAATTGTTTGGAAAAGAAGAATGGGATCAGGCTTGTGTTGCCACCTGTACTAGAATTATCTGATATCCTGATAGAGATATCGCAATCTTTACAATGTCACTTGGCCCATTCAAACAGGTGTGTCACCTACAGCAGAGGCAGCTGTGGGTGGCTTCAGACCCTGGTTGGCATATTAGTGTTAAACCCTTTGAAAGGTGCTTTGCTCAGATTGCACAACTAGTAAATTACCAGGTGTATAAATGCTTACTCTCTAGGAAGGTTTTGCCAATGAGAATGTGTTCTCTGTTGTTTATCTAGTAATATTAAGGTTTATTGTTGCAGTTGATATTTGAAGTTGGATGGGAAGGGGAAATTGTACAGAGATTTTATTACCATTTGAGAACTTCAGAATTTTTCAACTCTTATCAGTTGAAAAGGGTTCATTAATGTGATGAAATTTCACTAGAATTACTCTAGTTTCTGTATGGCTTCTGTATCTCTCTCTGCCTGAAGCCTCCAGTCAGAGTCACACAAAGCCTAGAAAGCCCTTAGAACTGACAGGGGCATAGAGTGGCTTGCAGTGTATTAATATCATACCGGAAACTTCAGGGGCTCTGAATGTAATAAAGTCAGCAATGTGAAAAAAACGTCAGGCTGACACAGAACCTGGAGCGTTCCTGACAGAATACAAGCAAGCCCAGGTTGAGATGTGGCTGCTGGGTAGTGGGTACTTGGGCATTTGTCAAGGAGAGGCTCACTCGCTACCTAGACTCGTCTCGTGATCCTCGTCTGTCACGCTGACCCTGTGGCTCGCTTTCCTCCGGCTCTGCTCCTCTTGCATGCGTTACCCATCGTGAGTAAGCACGTTCGCGGCCGTCAGATTGGCAGGTGTCGAGACCCTGCTCTATTATTGCCAGCTGATCCGAGGTGTCGCCACCAATATTAAGTGAATTTTGCTTTCTGCCCTGTTTTTGCTGGATGCACTGTGTCGCAGGGGGGCGCAGTGTGACGATGGGGGTCTCTCTGGGAAGTGGGAACGCCTCCCGGGAGGAGAAGGAGTCCGTCATCTCCCAGCGCAAAGGATGCTCCCGAGAAGACTACCGCAGCATTAATCGGAGTCCACTGGAGGACGGGGACCTCATTGAGGAGACTCTGGACTGCCCGACCTGCCAGGGCACTGGGCGAATCCCCAGGGGTCAGTCTGCCGTCCTGCATGTGTCGGGCCGTGTGTGAAGGCGATAAAGCACTCTAGAGCTCACAGCCACCGGAAAGGATGGCTTTCTCGTCTCCTGCAGCATTGATCACTGATGTCGTAGAGTCTGTTTGAGAGGCAGAGCTCAAAAAGCAGCTGGCAGGCTGTTGGTGTTCCTCTCAGGCTGGGCTTCTGTGATCTGCCTGTAACATACAGGGTGGATTGTCACACTGCTCTGACCATGTTTATCATTTACCAGGGCTTCCTGCAGTCATATACAGGCCCGGCCGGCTGCCTGGCCAAACATTGGCCAAATAAATGCATGAACGCTGACAAAATGTACCTGGGAATCTGTATTGAAATGCGGCCTCTTAGTGATACAGCTCAAGAGCATTTGCCAGCCAGCAGCCATGATGACGCACGATTGTATAGTTCTCAAGTCTGGCAGCTGGGTCTGAAAATATTACAAATTTGCATCAAGTTTGGGCTGAATAAAAATGAAGTAATGAAGGTAAAATTTTGAAACTGATGTAGTCACTTGTGATTCCGTTAACTAAGAGCAATGTGTTTTTTGTATGCCATCCCTGAAACCTCGGAAATCCTGAATCCTCTCTTTTTTTCAGGGCAGGAGAACCAGCTAGTGGCACTGATCCCCTACAGTGACCAGAGGCTGAAGCCCACTCACACGTAAGACTCCTCTGAGAGACTCTGACTCCTTTCCTTAGCTTTCCCACAGTAATCCTGCTCCCAGTTTTCCTCAATAATATCCACTGACCTACATGAAGTCCTGAGTGTGCTTGTTCAGCCTTTCCAGTTTGCCACTGCTGCACACACTAGATGTTTTGATTTCCTGTAATGTATGTGTACAAGAGTTATGTGACTCTACCATTCAGAACCATTTCCTATGGTGAGTTTAGCTAAACACAATTTTTGTGGGTAAAATTGTAGATCGGTATTCAAAAAACGGGGCAAGAAATAGAGGAACGTTATGGTAAAAGTGCCATATTATCATGCAAGCATATTGTGTTAAAGTTCTGTTTAACAGAATCTTTCTGTTGGGTAATATGTTTGATGTTTATTTTTATATGACTCTCTCTTCCTTATTTAACTACGATTAATGTTGGTTTAAAATACTTGTTCTTAGATTAAAACAAGACTTAAAAGCAGAATGTTTACTTATTTTAGGTGTATTCTCGTCCTTAAAAGTGTAGTTGGCATTCCGTGTCTTGCTTCCTTTGTTCTTCCTGTGTGGGAGCCAACATATTTGTCTGACAGTCTTTAAATGTGGCTGATCTTTGTTTTTGCTATACACTACCTTCTGGCTAAACAATGTGTGGTATGAAGGAAATTCATCTGGGAGGTTTCATTGTTGACCTGTACAAACATTAGGCGGCTCAGTTTTGTTTTTGGAGAGACCTTCTTCGTGTGTCTGACCCGCTGTCCTGCTTGTGCCCGTGTCTGCCCCCGACAGTAAGCTGTACGTCACCATGTCGGTGCTGCTGTGCATGCTGACCTGCTCCCTGGCCCTCTTCTTCCTGTTCCCTCGGAGCATCTTCCTCAGCCCCGTCAAGATCCAGTCCGTCTACGTCGAGTTCAGTCCCAGCTCCGTCAACATGAGCGTCACAGTGAGTGCCAGTCTTCCCAGAGTGCCTTGCGAGGCCATCCCTTACAGGGGCATATAATCTCTAGACTGGTTACTTCCTTTTTTCATATGCCTTCTGAAACTGGTTTTAACTCCAAGCAAAGGTTACAGTAACTCCAGGGGAGCCATTATTTTACTGTTTAAGTTCATTGAAGCATTTTACCTCTCAAGTTTGGAATTGTCTGTGCTCTGTTTTGAACTCGCCCTCTTGCCCAATTTGGAATCGCGGTTTGTTCGAGTTTCGTCAGCCTCTGTGCTGCACGGGGAGAAGGAGCTGCTGCCCATGTGCTCCTCTGACATGTTTGACGCAGTGCGGGCCCCACACGGCATTGTGGGAAGGTTATCACCGTGGAGGGAGCAAAAGCACATCAAGTCTCTGTAGTTCTCCGAGGAGTCCTGGTCACACTTGGCTGTTGACATGCCCCAGGCCCAGTTCAGTAACATCTGGACACTAAAAATGGGCATTGCAGTCAGGCTGCTCAGGAGCCCAGGATTTAGACTTTTCAGGCAGGGGGCTCTTGTATAGGACAAAGCTTTGCAATTGAACACTCTAGTCTGTTTCCAGTCAGCTGGAATTACTCGACTGAGATTCAGCCTTGGAAAGATGGTGGAAGTCTTTGCAACAATCTCGTCTTTTTTCTCTTGTTTTTTTAGAATGTGCTAAACATCACCAATGACAACTACTACGGCATCAGCTCTACCTACGTGGATATCCAGGCTCTGATCTTTGAGAAGGTGGTGGGAAGAGTTCGGGTCATCAAAAAGACACAAGTGCGGCCACGCTCCGTCAGTGAGGTGAGAGCCAGACACTGGGACAGATCTGTATTTCACTGCAAGCTCTCTGCTGGACCGTTCAGATCCACAGACAGGCTAGGGGGAAGCACAGCAGGTTCCAGGGATTCCAAAGGGTTTTGAAATATTTCCTATCCCAGTCTTCCAGAATGACTGCCTTCTGTTGTTGGCGTGATATGTGGAATTGAGTTTTTATACTTGACAGATCTTCAGTAAGATTGAGATCTGGAGTTTGCAGTTGCCAGGGAAGGTGATAGAAATCTGTCTTATGTTCTCCAAGCAAACCAATCTTTGTCTCCCAGTAAGAGTGTCCAGATGAAAGGGATCCTAACATTTTGGCCACTGCATGTATCCCTGCCGCCTTGTGCAACAGTCTACTCTTTCATGATATGTTACAGACAGTAGTGTAATCCCTTATTGTGCTGGCACTGCAATTAGAAGCTTAACTACTGGGAAGCTTGTGTGTTGCTTGATATGCAAGTTGATTTATTAAATGTGTAGGCTTCTGTGAACGATATAGGTACTCTGATCCCCAAGTCACTAATATATTAGAGTTTAAAGTTATTTTAACTCTTATTTAAAGTTGAACTTGTCTGTTGTGTACAATTGTAGTGCAGGTGTAGATGGGGAGATGGGCACAAGGAATGGAGTTTGTCTTGCTGTACGGGGTTGAGAGGTGTGTGTGCTTCCTGATCAGTCATGTCAGGATACATTTTTGAGCTGCTTATTTACAAAAACCTTTTCAAGACCCTTGCACTAGTAAGAAGGTATGTGTTCTAAGAAGAAATCAATGTGCTTAGTAAGCAGGGAGCTGGAAAAACATCAGATGAGCTGGAAGGACTGAATCCTGTGCTTTTTTGTAGCCCTTCGTATGATTATACACTGTTCTTAGATTTCTTGGGCAATACACAACCTCCGCTGCTGCAAATTTTCCTAGTAAGCGAAGAGATCATTTTGGCATCATACTGACACTTGATTGTGTTATATTATGAGGTATAAAACATTAGTGTGTATCGGGTTTAAATAGAAAAGTCCTGAAACAATATTTTTCTCTTTCCCAGCCTGTCTGTGTGTGAGGTTTCCAAATTTTTGGACTGTGTGGCATAATTTCAAAAGGCAGAGTCTAGCAGAACGGTAGCTGAGAAGTAACAGGCAGTGGGTGGTTGCAAGGGCTTCTGAGCGACATCTGTGTTCATTGCTGGAGGACAGGTGCTCTATGGGTTTCTCTCTCCTGTCAGTCAACCATGACCTGCAGAAAGTGCTTCTGGTTTGTCAAGAAACCCCAGCCCATGAATGTGACAAGGCCCTTTCTCCTTTCTGGTTTGCTTGTATCTGCCTTTTGCTTTACATAGATCATGCAGGTGCTTGTAAAGAACCCAGGATTGTTGCAACACCTTTGAAAAAAGTAGTTACAAATGACTGGTGTAAGTAATTGCTTTGTACCATTTTCCCCCTACAAGAAGTTGGGGGGAAAAATGACCTTAACAGTCATTTATATTTAGTGTATACTTATTGTCTAATACATTTATACTATTAATCATTTTCCTCCAGTTTTTGATTTAAAAAATAAATCCCTCACGCAGATAGCCTGTACCTGAAATGCATTAATTTTTTAAGGTAACTTTCACAAACACTGAACAGAAGTACCTTCACAGAACAAGTGTCTGCCCAGACATACTGTATGCAGCTAATCAGAATGAGCTTCAGACCCTTCATTCAGCAGTGGCTCTTAATAGATGGATCAGGTCTTCAACAGATAGATCAGTTTCACATGGAAGTACAATACTAAATGAGATTTGCATGCTCTTGCCTTTAAGTAAAGGAGGGAAGTAGTTGCTTATCTGTCCATTAATCTGCATTTAAAAAGTAAACCTTTTGAAGGGAGGAAAAAGTGGTGTGTTATTCCTGATTTGCCTGTACATTTGTTTTTCTCCTCTGCAGTTCACCTACACGATAAATGCCATCATAAGCGATGAAGGCCTGTTGTAAGTGAATCTGTACCTTTTTCATAGTTTTAACTGCTGCCTTATTGTGTGTACTGTTCAATGAATCGTCTTCTGCTCAGATTGTTGATTCCCAATATTTTGCCTGTACATACCAGAATGAATGGCATTGTGTAAACCTGCTCATAGCTGATCTGTGAGAAATGTGGTGGTGGAGGGATGCCATTAGTGTATTAGCACAGCGCTGCATCGTCTTTCTTGAGAGCCAGAAGTCTGGTTACAATTTGTTGACACCTCACCGCAGTTGCCCACAGCCAGCCTTGAAGGTCTTTCCAAACCTCTTTTGTAGATGGAGCTGATAGCTGCAGTAGCCTGGCAATCTAAGGTGATCTAAGGTGAACAGGGCAAACCTGTTTTTGTTTTCTCACCCGTTCTCCAAGTGGTGCTCCCTTTCTTAAACGGCACTGTGGAGTTTGAAGCATGTCACATGACAATGGGCGTGCTGTCCACATGTCTCGTTTTCTCCTGGAACTATTGCTGAAGAGCAGAATTTTAACCCAGCTGGAGTTGCTAAACAGCGTGGGTATCTAATGTATGATACTGGCAATATAGAAAGATCTCATGAAGCACTTTGTGCTCAAGTTTCACTTTGTACTCAGGCTTTAAACAATTTACTCTGCTTCTTCATGGAATGTTCTTTTCTGTTGAGTTTTTAATATTTACATCTTAAAATCCATGATGAATTAAAATAAATGATGAAAGGTGGGTTTGAAATAGTTTTCTGTTTTACAGAAATTACTGCATGTCTCCAAAATTCAACATTCATACCCTGTTTCTCCATATGCAGTGAGTATTGCTCTGTTTTTGTGGTATTTTCTTTTGTTGAGTGTGTTAAGTGTTTTCAAAGGCTTTCGGGCTACTTGGTGTCAAAATTTGTCGAGCTGGCTGCATTTGGATACTAACCAGTTCTTGTTTGCAAAACCTGAGCTTTTTTTCTGACATGGTGGTGATGTACGCTCTTGGCTAGAGGCACCTGAAGAGCAGTCATGGTAAGAGATGTGACCTGTGAGACTGAAACTGTGAAACCTGTGTGGCTCGGGACTTTTGCATTGGCTTTGAGTGCTGGAGCAATGGAATAGATAACTAGGGTGGGATTAAAAGGCAATACAGTAAAAACGCCCCCTATCCACACTGTTCTGGCTCCGTCATACATCTGTTATGACAGCCACACACGCCTCAGAGGTGGTTTGGCAATTTGTTCTTTGTCACAGAAAGGTAGCTTAGGACCACAATGTTAGCCACACGTGTAGGTAGGTGTCTTTCTCAGGCTCATGGGGGAATGGAGGGACAAGAGCCTCCATTTTTCCTCAACCACCCGACGCTGGAGGTGGAGGTGATGTGGTCAGCGTCACGCTCCGGCCAGCCTGTTACCCCCAGAAGGATTAACCCCCGGTACTGGTACTCATTTGGAAAGCAGGCTGAGTGGACCTGGGAGCCGACTGGAAGGAATTGCAGCAGCTGGCCCCTACCTGGGATTGAACCCGGGACTATTAATGTTGTTTTGTTTGCGAACAAATCCCAATTCCTAAAGGTGCTGGTGTCATTTTCCTTTACAACTGCCCTCCCTTATCTCCCAGGTGCAAGGGTCTCAGTTCTCTGACGCTTGGTCTGGCCGTCTTCTGTCTCTCTCTCTCTGTGTACCGCAGGCTGACGATGAATGCCTCCTACCTGGCCCACTCGGAGCAGCTCTCCCTCGACACGTTTGAGTACGTAGACTGCGGGACCAACACCACCACCCCCCACATGCTGGCGCCCTCCGGGGCCGGGAGTTTGTGAGGGGGGTGGGCAGGTCAGAGCATGGCATGGCGATGTGGAGACTGACATGGGCAGGAATGCCAGCCCACAGGGGGCAGGGAGCCCAGGCGTGCCCTCTTTTCTAAACAGCAGGATTTTAAAAGGGATCTTTTGAGACAAATTAAATATCTTTTGGCATTCGGCATTCGAGATTTATTCACAAGGGCGTTTGATTTGTTTTTCCTGTTCCTGTCAGAGGAGAAATTTGGTTTCAGTGGGTTGCGTGGTGATACGTGCATATTTGTCCACTTTCTCTGGGATGTGTATGATAGGAGTTGATACCAGAAACAATGTTAAAACGGCCACAGGCCGGGCTGGAGTCAACTCTGTTCACACCTATAACACCTTACCTGATGTTTTAAATATGCATGTGAAATGCAATGCCATGGAAAACAATACAGGACGTATTAGTAATGCTGTTGTATTAGTGACAAGTCCTTGTAGCACATACTGTATTTTGTGTTCACTTTAATCACATATGTTAGAAATCCCGTTTCACAGATCGTTCGGGTGCTAATTCAGCTGTTTAAAAGGGCATCCTCTACGCTGCCTTCTTATGTATCCTTCCTGAGCTTTGAAGAAGTGAAACTTTGTTTCCAAGTTGCAAGTCTCAGCTGCGCATAGCTTTTTCAGCCTCTTGCGAATCTGCAGATTCCATTTTCTTTTTTCGAAACTGTACACGCCACGCTGCTCACTTCGACATGTTGGCGAATTCAGCTGTGGGAAGCGTGAAAGTGGGCCAGTACAGGTTCTAACGGCCAGCCTGGAGATGAGTGTGTGCTGGGTCAGATGGATGAGAGTGAAACAAATTTGCTGTTGTACAAATATTGTCAAGGCCCTAGAGAAAATAAAGCAGTAAAATTGACTTTTGGTCATGGGGGGGTCAAAACTGGCACCAGGGGTCATGACATAAACCCCTAATACCCTGACATGGTGGAAATGGTCGTCACTTTTGAACGGACCTGTTCGGACTCCTTGATATCTGGGCTGTAGTACCCAGAACATACCACTAGATGGTACTCGTAGTCCAAATTGTTGGTCTGCTGTTAAACTCCAGAGTAGTTCGGGTCTTGATGGCGCATGGAGAAAAACAGATACTTAAAGAGAAGAATCTTCATTTACGTGAATTTATTCCTTTGCTGAAATCTCCAGCAGCTCTGTCCAGTGCACAGCTATTTACAGACTGATTATGTTGTACGTAGCCTAAGAGTGTAAAATGTGGTGAATTACTCACTGCTTTGCCAAATAGGGAAACTGTGTTCTTTTTCTTTGTGTGGGTTTCTAAACTGGTGTGTAAATGCCCTGATGTCCCTTGTTGGGGTGCAGAAGGACTCTGCACTTTGCTCCTTTACTCTGGAGCTCTAGTGAGTGAATGTGATTGTGTTTGTTATAGGAGCCCTCACTGCTAATTTGTTAAAAGTATAAAGCATTAGCACTTTTTATTGTTTTTATCTGTAGTTACTGAGCCATATTTGTCAACATGGAGTAATTTTTATTTTAATTCAGATTTACAAATAAACCCCAAATTTTCTTTTCCAAGAGTGTTTTTTTTGTGTTTGGTACCTTAACTTCCTTTTTAATAGGAACAATTTAGGGTTTGCCTTGGGTATTTTATCTCCATCATTAATGCCTGTTTGAAACAAAGTCAAGTCTGCTGTTTCAGATCACCTCATTAATTCATTGATTTCTGGGTTGATGTGTCATTTGCTGCTTTTCACATTATTTTCACAAGGCTGTGTTCTTATGAATTATTTAAAAATTGTGTTGCTTTTTGTTTCAACTGGGTGAACGGCATCGAGCAGTGAGTAACCCTCGGGTTGTGGGTTCGAGAACCTGCTGCAGACACTGCTCTGTATCCTGTGGCTCCAGTCCACCCTGCGGTACAGGTGGGCACCAGCAGTCCCTGTCTGTCTGCAGACGTGCCCAGCGTGAGCCTGTAGTCACTGCCGTGCCTCGTCTGCACGTGCCCCAGTGATTAGTTGTGAAGCACAACTGGAAAGTGTTTCTTTTTTTATTGGGAGCCCTGGAGAAATTAAACCTTGTTCTGAGAGTTAATGAGCTTAATCCGATCAGTGTGTGTTGAATGTTCATGCTGCATTTGAAATAAGGTGAATCAAAATCAGTGTGCTCCTGACACAGATCCTCAAATCTTGGTTGCTGTAAGCCTAGAATGTCTCTTGCCAGATAAACTAGCATTGTGCTGTAAACAATTATAGATTGTCAGCTGGTACACTGACAAGAGTTAAGAGCAGCAGTGTCAAACCTTCCACTGGGTCACAGTTCTTCTGACTTGTGTTCCAGCCTGGTTTACAGCTGGTTAAGTAATGCAATTACCTGACGAACGTAATGCTGGTAGTTCTCTCCTGGTTCCAAAACGTTTATAGATGTTGTATTTCAAGAGTAAAACAGTGAATAGAAAAACACCTAGTAGAAATCCTCAAAAAGCCTAATTAAGGATTTAGTGATAAACATTTGAGTCTTCTAGTTGCAATGAAAATTTGCAGACTCTGCTGCCCTCCAGGAATGGGCTTTGGCAACCCAGAGTTAGGGTTGTCCTGTTAATCCATACAAGAGCTGGATTGTGCCCTCACGAAGACAGGACTGTATGAAATACTGCACAATGCAAAGCTGTGCTGAACACCACAGGGTTTGGGGGGGAAAAGCAGCACATAAGAAAAGTAATAATTCTTAAACTTATACAGCGCTTTCCTGGACACTCCATTCAAAGTGCTTTACAGGTAATGAGGACTCCCCTCCACCACCACTAGTGTGTAGCCCCAACTGGATGATGTGATGGCAGCCAGAGTGCACCAGTACTCTCCCCACACACCAGCTCTCAGTGGGGAGGAGAGCAGAGAAAAGTAGAGGTGCATTCTTAGGATTTTATGGAACTGTGGTAGCTCATGGTCTGGAGACAAAAAGAGGACATCAGGCAGAAACTTTTAGATAATCTGTTAATATTCCTTTGCTGGTGCAGTGGTGTGGTGTTGAAGAGGAGCTTGGGCACCGTTGTCTGGCTCTGTACTTGAAAGGAGACAACACCCCTCTGTGGAAGTGCAGAAAGAGGCTTCTGCTGGGCACAGGGAAGAGTCCCTATCGTTCACCACTGCTGGGAATAGTGGACGGACTGAAACAGACGAGAGAGAATGATGTGAGAAAACTGCACTGACCCAGCGTCTGTGCTGCTTACAATGAAGACCCTATAGCAGGGTTAGTTTCCAATTTGCGTCTAGTGTTGTCTACAGCAGTGGTTCCCAACACTGGAACACTGTCTATTGCTGTAGTTTTAATTCCAGCTGAGCTCTTTATCTCCAGTGCTGACTTGATGACTTCATTGATCTGCTTGCTTGTTAATACTTCTATTTAACTTGTTTCTTCAGTCCCTCCTGAATGACAAAAATATCTATCTCCAAGGATCCATTTTCTAATACCTTCAGCATATAGAACTTTAAGAAGCTTGTTCTCAGTTTATTTCTGACTAACCAGCTCTTGCAAATTGATCAATTGAACAGATGCAGATGGGAATGATACTATATCAGACTCCAAACAGTGAGTGATTTTATTTCCTTATGCAGAGTACTAGTTTCTGACAGTTCAGGCAACACAACTACATAAAGGCAGTGCTGAAATTCAGAAATCGGTCTAGGGTTGATACCCATTACTAATCCCCTTTGACCTTCTCAGCATTAAAAGCAAGTTTACAAATTTACCCCAAATAAAAAAATTTAAATCTCCCAGCCTGTGATTAAGAACTGGGCTGGAGCAAATTCTGTAACAATGTTCCTCTGGAACAAGGGCTAGGACCACTGCTCTGGAGAGTTTTATTTAGAGTGAGGGGTAGGTGGTATACTTGCACAACAGATGAACTGCACTATGACAATTTATAAGATCAAATTTATATTCTAAAAGTGCATTACTCACCACTCTGAAATGAAATGACTACTTTTTTATAAGAATCAATAACAAGAAGACATGTAGATGAATCTGATATAAGCAATTATTCATATATAGGTGTGGTCAGAGCTTTTTGAAAAGGCATAGAATTCATACTGCAAGTGTGCAACCAGGTTTTCTTGCACAGTCCAAACCCAGGCTGGTAGGTTAATTGGCTTCTGGGAAAAGCTAGCACTGGTGTCCATGTGCTTGTGTCTTATCTGCCCTTCAATGGACTGGCGTCCTGTCCAGGGTGTACCCTTGTGCATGTTGCTTGCTGGGATAGACTCCAGCTCCCTGCCAACCCTGAACTGGTTAAAGTGGTTAGAAAATGGATAGAAGGTTTTTCTGAGCTGGTACTCACAGTGTATCTGTTCTCTATTTTTGCGCTGTACTTCTCGTCGCAGGAGGGTTGCGATTTGCTGTGAACTGCAGGTTTCAGGCTCTGAGCTGAAAGAAAGGAGAAGTCTGCTACACACAGGCCATAGTTCCCGCAGTGGGCAAGCAGGCCCTCGAACTCATTCACTGGGGTGTGTGCAGTTGGAAGAGAGGAGATCTGCAGTTGTCAGGTAAAATGCTGAGAACAAAAGGCCGTTTTGTAGGAGAGACCACATTTTCATCTTTTTATGACAGCTGTGACATGACAGCGGGATGCCCACACATCACTGGCACCAGTACTGGAATGTTTTTAATAACACTTTGAGTGATGAGCTGCTGTATGAAAAGAAGTGATTGACTGCTGACTGATTGAATTGACCGAGGAAAGGCACAAAAGAGCACATCCATGCTATTGGTTTCTCAAGCCAGGGAGAGCTGTCACACACACACACACACACACCCACCCCCACCCCCACCCCCACACCCACACCAACACCCTTGAATTCGAAATCTGATATTTTCAGAATAAATGTACCTGTCATTTGTATCCATGTATTTCTTCTATAGTAAGTTTTTATCTGACTGATTAAAACCAGTAGGTTTTCCCTGTCATACAGTGAGGTGATAGTACCCCATGGTCTGAAACAATGAAGGTTGTGTCTAAGTGCTGTTTAGTGTGCAAAATGCCTGCCAGTTTGATAGTGAGCCCTGCAGAGCCAGCTCGAGGGATAATGCTTCAGTATGCCCTCTCCACAGTAGAGTGTGGAGATGCAGTATGTGCAGTGATCAATATTTAATGTTTTGTTCATGGATACTGAGCCAACAAAGTGGGGCAGCATCTCTCCCAGCTGGGGTGCTGCCTACTTTGCCTGTGCCAGCTGTGAAGTAGGTATCTGCTGATTCTTGACAGCACGGTTAACTTGAAAGGCTTCAGTGCCTTTTTAGTTTCTTCTTCTGAATCTGAACAGCTGACTTAGCGTTTTGTTATCTATATCAGGCACAAACGTGCTAGCTTTATGTAAAATACGCGACATGTTAAGTTTGGTTACTAACAAAAGTAGATGAAATCAGACATCCTGTCTACAGCTACTGGTGATTTATCATTTCAAACCTACAAGCTGTATCCACCTTTGCATTTTATCCAATTAGGACACATTGGTCTATTGTTAAAGCTGAACTGTTGCCGCTGTACAATAAATACTGTAATATTTATTGTGCAGCTGCCTGAATCACCTTCTGGACGTCATACTGCAGGTTAGCACTTTTATTTACCAAAATTAAAGAGCATAAAAATACGCGTAAAGAGAGCATTGTAAATCCTCAGCTCTGTCTCTCACTGGGCTCCTCCCAGGCACCCGTAAATAATCTCTCTTAGTCCCACCAAAGCTGCCCCCCACCTATCAGGGTCCCAAGCACAGTCTTGAAGACACCCCAGGGCCAGCTCACTGTCTCTCCTCACCCTATAACCTCCCAAGCCAGCCTCTTCCACTGGCACACAGTGTGAAGTGCACCAGCTGAACGGCAGGGAGAATAAGCCATTTACAAGCCCCACTGCCACACACTGCAGGGAGCTGGTGCATCGCAGTCCAACTCTGCCGTGCTCCAGGTCCTTCAGGGAGTTATCCAGGCCATAGGACTTTCAGAAGAATTTTAGAACAGACCTGTCCTGTATTGGAGCAGAATGAAATAGCCATCTGGGGGCAATATGAGAAAAGAAAAACAGTTTTTTAAGTTCATTTGTCTATATTTTACAGTTTTGAGAAGTTCATCCAAAACAGTTCTTTAATACGCCAGATAGATAAGGCCGCTGCAGCTTCTCATCCGATCAGTAAGAAAGTACATTGTCTTTGTTTCTTCTGCATAGATTGGTACACACCAACTAAATATGACAGGTCCCGTTTCATACACCATATACCACATCCATCTTTCCATCCAGAGTGTTGTGTAACTTGTGAGTTGTGTAACTGCCTGCTAGTGCCTTGTACACTTTAATAGTACTACACTGTTGTCAGATTTTCATTTCTATTGTATCACGCCTTCTGCAGCAGATGATTCTGCCATATCCATTTTCAGATCTTTTCTAGGCTTGAGGGGAAGGATGCTCCATGAGCCAATGGGGGAAACATGAACATTTCATAGCTGTATTCCCAGGCCGGTTGATGAAATCAGAAAGCCTGTGTGTTGGGTGGCAGGATAAAGATGAATCCCAGCCATTGGAGTAATTG